TAAGGGTTTACTGTAGTGGTCAATTATTTTGTTTTGTTTTTTCTGTTTTTTTTAAAAAATAAATTTTGAATTATTTACTGTAACTCGGTAAATTTTTCAAGTTATAGTGGGTCTAAGGTTAAAAAAGCAACCTAGCGGTCAAAGTAAAAAAAATCTTTGTTTTTCTGTTTTTTTTAAAAAATTGAATTTTGTATTATTTACTGTATCTCAGTAAATTTTTTAAGTTACAGTGAGCCCAATGTTAATTATATTATAATAATCATTTAGGGTTTACTGTAGCGGTCAAAATAAAAAAAAATCTTGGTGTTGTTTTTTCTTTTTTTTTTTAAAAAATTGAATTTTGAATTATTTACAGTAATTCGGTAAATTTTTTAAGTTACAGTGGGTCCAAGGTTAAAAGTCTAACATAATTACAATTTAGGGTTTACTGTAGCGATCAGAGTGAAAAAAATCTTAGTTTTTCTTTTTCTTTTTCTTTTTCTTTTTTTTTAAAAAGAATTAAATTTTGAATTATTTACTGTAATTTGTTAAATTTTTTAAGTTACAGAGGGCCCAAAGTTAAAAATGTAACATAATTACCATTTACTGTGTACTTAAAATAAATAGTAAATGAAAAAAGTAATTTTAAAAATATTGATAAATTTTAAAATTGTATAATAATATTTTTAATTAATAAATAATATTTTAAAAATTAAATAATAAAATTTGAATTTAAAAATATTTTTAATGATTTTAAATTTAAATTAAATTAAAAGACAAAAATACCCCTGATTCCGGCATGTCAACGACCGGAAACAGTGAAATGGAATTAAAAAAAAGTGTGAAAACATAATGTTTAGGACCACGATATTGAAATGTTAATGTTAGGGACGTAAATTCAAGTAGGTCCAAATGTAGGGACCATTTGGACATTTTAGTCTATATATGTATATACATGTATATATATATATCTATATATATTTGTGTTGCTTTAAAAGCAAATGCTTTGTTTGTTTCATTTTTTATGGTATTTTTAAATTAAAATATTAATAAGTATTCTATTTCAGCATACCTTTTTATATTTCTAGTAAACCTTTATACATTTCCAATACAAAAAAGAAAAAACCTAAAATATACACTAAAAAAACGAAACAATAAACTAGAATTTTGGGACAAAGAGAGCATTTGTTTAAATGGGTAGGCGATAATTTGAATATCCTTATTAGGCGTTCTACTGCTCCCTAAAATGTGTGATTTGTTGTGGGGTAATCCTAGCTATAAATAGCTAGCTAGTTGGGTTCATAACTGTCAATGATTCCCAACCCAACTTCCAAATTGCATCTTCCAATGTCAACGGAACAATTTATGAGTTAAAGGAACCAAAAAACAAGTTGTATGATGGATGAGTGAAAGAGGACCACAACAATAATAGTTACTAATTAATCCAAAAATACTATAACTTAGATTCTATATTCGTTTTCATCATAAGTTCAAAAATAATTTATCTCCCACCATAAATTGCAATCTCGTCTTTTACAACTTTTCTCTCTTTTTTCCGTCAAAAAAAAAAACGGTGCATAACTTGCACGTGTCTTTTGACAAGGGATACTGACGGTCATTTTATAACTGTAGTGACACGTGCATCGCACGACACGTAAAAAATTGACCGGCTCAAAACCCGATTTGGCTGATTTATTTCCTCTCGCCCAACCTCAACCCTCCCCCCCTCCGAATCACAACGCCACCGCTTTTTTTCATATCTCCTCATCCGACTCTTCATCCCCAATGGCCCAGATTTCCACAATTAAATTATTCTTAATAATTAGTATAATTTAGGCGTTTGTTATATCATTAGAAAATGGATTTGGAATCCTTCTAGATTGAATCCGAATACTCATAGATTCATGAATTTGATAATTCTGTTTGGTTCAAAATATAGAATTGTTGGATATGATTTTTTTAAAAAAATAATTATTTTTTCCAGAATCACAACTTCTCCATCTTCCTTCCAACACCTTTTTTTTAAAAAAGAAAACTTTTTCAAAAAAAACTTCCTTCCACCACCACCGACTACTACATTTCTACCCCCACCTGCCACTTCACCGTCAAAATCATAATCCAAATCTCCATATCTGCCTCCCTTATTTTTCTCTATATTAACAATTAACTATGTAAACAGCCAACCATCCCTCATTTTTCATAATTTTAATGAGTTAAAAGAGTTCATAGTAAACAATCAATTTGATTTCAAATCGAACAACACACAACGACAACAATTTGCCTCGAGTTCTAGTCTTTTAAGTGACAATTTGCTATCATGGTGAAGATGAATGAGAAGCAAGCCCTTAGAAGATGATGGTGATGATTTGATGTAAGGGATGAGAAATAGATTTCAGATCTCATGTCTACAGCTATCGGTACCTCAATCTAGATGAAAATCTGTGATTGTTCATATCATTCCATCTGTCAAAGTAGGAAGAAAATGATGGAGCAAAAAAATAAATTTGAAATTCGAAAATGATGGAAGCAAGAACCAATTTTCATTATTTTGACAGGCAAAGAAAATGAGGATGAATAGAAGATGGATGCAGAGGAGTAGGAAGATAAGGATTAAGGAGAAAGAAGAAAGAGAAAATAGAGGACACAAGAGATGAAGATGAAATGGTCAGGCAAAAGAGGTGGTGAAGGGCGAATTTTGACAAGAAAAAGAAAATAACAGATACAAGGGATGAAGAAGGTGGTGGGCGGCGGTAGTGGTTACTGTTATGGTGATGGAGGCAGGTGGCTGCTTGTGTGGGAGCAATTGGTGGCGTGTCAATGTGTGTGGAGTCAACGGGTCATGTGACTTGCACGCGCACAGAAGAAAGGACAAAAATGCCACTCGTAATAAACCATGTGCAAGTCGTGTACCGTTAGTTTTTTGACGGAAAAAAGACTGAAAAGTGGAAAAAGACGGAATTGCAACTTATGGAGGGAAATAAATTGTTTTTGAACTTAATGTGATGAACGAATATAGCATGCGAAGTTATAGTACTTTTATGGTTAATTAGTGTTTTATTAATATATTCTTTTCGTCTCAAAAAAATATTCTACGTTACAATTTGTAAATTATATTATTATTAGTTCGATTCCAAAATAGAATGTGAATTACTTTTGAATGATAAAGAAATTAATAAATTGAAATGTAGCCACTAGCAAATAAAAAGAGCAGGGCCTTCTCTTTTGATTTTTTCTTTTCATTTTTTTTCCTGTGAAGAGCCGGGCATTGCAGCGCTTTCTTTGGTTTTGTTTTTTTGTTTTTTGGCTATCTAACTAGCATTTTTTTTTTTTATTTATTGTGAAGTAACAATCGTTAGTATGTACCAATTTGATAATTATAAATGAGATATATCTATTAAAATCACCATTGCAGTTTTTCGACAAAAAAATCAAGAATATATTCATAGAGTGACCTTATTGAAAAAAATTAATAAGTAATTGTAGTTTTGGGTAATCTTTTCTATTATGTTATGGCACTGTAACTAGCTTAAAAGTTTCATGAATTTTCTATAAATAAAATGTTTTATGTTTGCACCAACATTTTTTCACTAACAGTTATGTAAGTTTTTATTAATTTTAGATATATCTCATACATAATTATGTATGAATATAATTAATCATAAAATTGATAAAACAAAGTAAATACAAATTATTTAAAAAGAAGTAAAAATGTATTACTTAGACAATAGTAAAGTAAGTCTAATATATATATATATATATGTAAAATAATTTTATTTTGTCCAGTTTATATCCGTACATAATAAATTACTTTGATATTAAAATAATGTGATGTTTTTCTTTTTTGAAATGAAGTATAAATAATATTAATTAGATACTCCCTCCGTCCCATAATTATTGTCTAGTTTGGATTTTCATTTTTAGTTCAAATTGTACTAAAATTGAAATCTCAAACTGGACAATAATTTCGGGACAGAGGGAGTACTAACAAACCAAATGCTAAAGTATATGAATTTTCATGTATTCAAACACAAGAAGATATTAGAACTTAATTCTTAGTCAATTCTTAATATCTCACAAACAAATAAATTAGGATTGAATTTTTATCAAAATACCTTTCTTTTTGGGGTGAATTATATACCTCATTTTCAGTTCTATCAAATCCATTGTACTTAATTAAAGCAACATACAACAAGGACACGTGTCATCTTCACATTAAAAATTTTCCCGCCAAAGCTACTTTTCAGTACAAAATGAAAAATGCCACGTGGCTCATCAGATGAGCAGAAAAATGATGTTTGATGAAATTTTTTCAGGGATTTATTTAAGAAACTAAAAGAAAAAAAAAGTTGAAAAACTACCAAAGTTATATCCCTAAAATTTCTGCCATCCGAATCAATCTCATAATTACAGTATATGTATATCAATAAATGTAAGTAAGGTTGGTAATTTACAGTAAATAAAAAGATGATTAGTAAAAATTCTGTTTATTACAATACAAAAATGCAACTGTAAAATTTGCAGAGTTGCTGTAACTCAATTATATCATGCATCCAGATATGTGTCATTAGCAAATTTTACTGCATCGTCATCCTTTTGATTCCCTGAAATCTGCCTTAATCGTCTCTTTTCCATACATTGTTGCTGCAAATATACGGTAAAGATCAGATAATCTTCCCAAATAACAGTTTTGAATTTTATAAATTACATATTCAAATTAAATTAAATAACAATTCATAACAAGTCCATATCCTTACCATCAGTGATTGATTGATTGATTGATCCATGTTTATCTCCTTAAAAATCAAAATCTTACCTTCAGAAACAGTCATTCAGTTAACATCAGAATCAAAGAGATATGCTTACCTACAGATTTTCATGGAATTGAATATCACATGCTCTGTATATATATAATTTGATAGAGATATGTCATACTCACCAAAACCTGCGACCATTTATTCTAAAGCTCCATTGTTGTTTCTGTTTCCTATTCAACAGAAACCCCTACTGTTTCTGCAACTCCCATGTCTTCATCAGAAGCCCCCACTGTTTCTGCAACTCCCATGGCTTCATCAGAAACCCCCACTGTTTTTGCAACTCCAATGACTTCATCAGAAATTCCTGAAGTTGATTCTCACAATCAAAACTATCCTGAAAATCCTATTTTTGGATCTGCAACCCACAATGTTGCTAATTCAGTGGAAACACATACACCTGTTCTTGATTCTGAAAAACAACACCATGCTGAAAAACCACTTGCTGGAAATCAAACACCTCCTAATGTTGATCAGACATTTCCAACAGGATCTGCACAAAGGTACATTGCTGACATCAATGGCTTGGTACCAACCCAAACTATCCATTTCCACATAGTTGTTCGTGTTATGACCATCTGGAAAATGATAGAGAATAAAAACAAGACTGTCAAATCTGTTGAGTTGGCATTGATTGATGCTCAGGTATTATATATTATTTAATACAGTTTTCAACATCAAACAATGTTTTACTCATGAAGAAGATGCAATTCTTATATGCTTATTTGTCCAAACTTTTTGAAATATAGGGATCCAAGATTCAAGCTACTATACCTGCGAGGATAATGAAAGATTTCCAGAAGTATTTCCTTCAAGAGGGCTGTGCCAGGAAGATATCACGTTTTGATCATTGCCTGAATATAAGTGGGGGATACCGGTGCTCAAAACACGAATACAAAATTGTATTCCGACCTGATACAATTGTTCAATCTGTTGGTTACCATGACATCCCTAATCATGTATTTGAATTTGCCCTTTTTGCAGAAATTACCAATTTTGTTGCAAATTTTGACTTCTGTTTTGGTAAGGACAACATCTTTCAGCATTTAGTATAATATTTTCCTTATGTATCTATTAAGCAAACATGCAAGTATGAATAATATGCATACATATATCTCAGATTTGTTGGGACACATAATTGGTTACAGTGATCCAATTATTGATAATGGTAAGAAGAGGATTTCGGTCGAATTGGAAGATGAAAGGTAAGTTATTTTACCAATGTATATAATTTGAATACATATGTATGTAAAAATATTCTTATTCAATTCAGTATGCATAAGTGATTTTAACTATATTTACATTAATCATAGGGCCGATAGGTTAAAGGTCACATTATGGGATGAGCACGCAGACAAGGTGTATACCATGATGACTAATAATCCTGATTACCCTGTTGTCCTTATTGTTCAGTATGTCAAATGCAAAAAATACTACTGTAAGTATATTTCGTTTTAAAGCATATCTTTGTTTGTTGACAACAAATTTCAGTAGTTTTAGTGACACATCTATACTCTAATCTGATCCAGCTAAAGTTTCAATCACAACAAATCTGTTCAATGGTAGGATTTTCCTAAATGACATGACCATTCCAGATATATACGAATACAAATTCAGGTAAAAGAAAATTATTTTCACAGTTTATACAAATACTTAAATGAAACCATCCATGCAGTGTCAAGTAATGAACTCACCTTCACAGGGTTGATCAGGCAGATATTAGATCTGCAAGCATCCATAAGATATCCATGCTATCTTCCATTTCAGGATACACAAATTTTGATGAATTTGTGCGTGATGCTGAGATGTTGACACTGGCTGGAATTGATGATTTGGAACAGGTAACATGTTAATATATACTTTCAAGCCATACAAAGTAAGGTTACTGCTATATAATATGTATTCATTTCTTACCTGTATTGTCATATTTTTGACCATCGGGTGTTGTTGTTTTTGCAAAGATATCTGGATTGGCAAAAGAGTATGATTTGGTCATACATAGGTTGTAGCAAGCTAATGTGATAAGGTTGTTGAGATTGAATCATCTCGCAAAGGAAAACCTCACCGGTGGTAAACAACGGTCGGCCTTTGGCAAAGGTAGAAAAGTAGATAATGAAAAGCCAGTTGGACTAGCAAAGAGATGGATGTGCAAAAACCATGGACCTGTTTCTGCCGTCGCTGCAAAGTAAAACAACTATAGTCACGTTATATAGTTTATAATGTTTTTCATATTAAAGTCTACTTTATTCTCTATGTTTATTGTACTTTGTACAATCAGAATCGCTTTGCACAAATTTCGATTCAAGTTGCAAGTGTATTTAGTTGATGGTTCAGCAGCAGAATTGGTACTCTATGGGACGAATGGTGTATAACTTCATAAACAAGACCGCTTCGTGCTACGTGAAGAGGTACAAATTATATACCATTACGGGGATAATTGTTTCTATACAACCGTAATTGTTGCATACCTTTCAAGTTATTGATTATTATCTTCTACTAATTTTCTAATGCTATAACAGTATCCCAAAGGTTACCCCGACATTCTAGATGAAATTGTGGGGAAAAAGTGTGCATTCGGGCTAGATGTCTCGAGACTATAACATTAGAAACAACACCGGTGAGATATCAGTTGCAAGGGTTACAACAGATGCAGACGTTATAAGGAAGTACCTTGATGCTGTTTCAGATGATCAGGTTTTAACTATAACATATATTTCTGTAACAATGTAATAACTGTTGATATTGTTTACAAGTCAAATTATTTCATACATTTTGCAGGAAATAGATCCTGAGCTAAGTGCCGAATTCTGCCATAATTTAACCCCATTATCTGAGAGCACTGCTAAGGTATTTGATAGCAACAGTTTATGTAATGTACAAATAAAACATACATATTACTGTAAGTTAACAAGTTTGTTGACTTACTATTCCTTATATTTACAGACAGCAGTTTCTTGCACTGACGATAATGATATGGGAGCTCCTGGAGATGAAATGGGTGACAGTCCTCCACCAAAGAAGCATGCATCTGCACAATCTGGCGAAGAAAGTGTCAAGTCCCAGCCCAACAAGCGTGTCAGAAAGCTTTAATCCGAATGAACAATTACAAAGAATTTTATTGTCTTAAAAAAGGATTCAGGTTGCAGACAATTTATTTCCCTTCACCGAATTTAGTTTTTGTTTGGAACTTTATCATTTAATCCGTCTTTCTCCTGTGAGATCAGTACATCCGTTGGATTTTATCATGGTTGTTTCAAACTTATTTGTTTAAGTTTCATAATAGTATGCCATATGATATTGGGATTTCCATTTTTGAGTTATCGAGCTTGAGAATATTTTTATCCACTTTATATTTCTTATAATTTTTATGTTCCTTCTAACAATAGATCATTGCCTGCATATTTGCTTTTACTTCCTAATAAAAAGTGCAGGTTTCTGAAGTTGATGGATCATGCTGCAATACTGGTAAAATTAGAGTATACATGCACTGGTAAGGAACATTGTATGTATTTATATTATGTACATATAAATACATGGTTTACTTGAAAGTGGAAAAATTTGATGACTTACTATGCTTTATATTTGCAGATTCCACTTTTGTGCTCTGCCTGTTTGTATAATGGACTTCCTGGAGATGAAACAGATCACATGCTCCACTGAACAGTTTATCATTTCCTAAATATAATGAATAAGTGTCAGTTTCAACTCCAACAAGCGTGTCATGTTGCACGCTACAAGTTTTTTGTATCTTTGTATTAAAGAAGGATATATTCATTAAGAGCAGATTCATTGTTACTACTGTTTAGTTTGCAGCTTACTTTTTCAGCCATTTCGGTTGTTTTTCCTGTAATAAGTACACCTTTAAGTAACTGAGGTTTGTTTTAAAAAGTATACAATCATGTTTTCAATGTTATCAAATAATATATGTTGATTTCAGAATATGAATTATTTGTAGTAAATTATTGGTTGTGTTCACTTTACACTTACCTGACAAAAACTAAATACAATGATATGTATACAAGTTATATTTCCAATATAAATTATTTAAAAACTAATGCACAGTTTAATATCAAATATATATTTAGATAAACAGAAAACATAAAGGCATTACATTAAAATATGATTCTCAGAATATTGATAAAATATTAGTTAAATTTAAACTGAATAGTTGTCATTATCAAAGACTGAAATACCAGTTTGATTTGGAATAGAATTCCTCCAAACTGACACATCTGTTCCTAATTTTAAGGTGCCTTAAATAGCTGTACAACATATCCAGACTATTTATATTCACACATAACGTATCTAGATCGTTACAAAGTTCTTTCTCCTTCTTTTCACAGTGTTTTTCATTCTAAGAACAGGCAGAATACAAGTTGCCATGGATTTTGGGTACGATCAACTTATTACTGTCCCAACAGACATATGGAGAAAGGGGTTGGTAAGTACATAACATATATTCTGCCTGTTTAATATATAATATATCATCCTCTTTCTAAGTTTTATGATTTTACCAGATAATTAGCAGTAACCTTACTGCAAATATGAAGCATGTCGGTCAGCAAATAATGGTTGAATTCCAGGGAAAACAAACTGTCTTTGCAAATTTACATATTACGAAAAAAAGAAGATGTCAGTTGTGGGGGAATGCTCTAGAAGAATTATTTACATCCATTGGTGTATCTCCTCACACAAAAATTCACGTTGTTTACCATCAACAAAGAAAAGTTCTTCAGTTATTTTATTTTTTATTTGATGGAACACAGCGGCTCAGATCTGATCCAACTGCAAATATTGGCAGTCGTTACCTCTTGGAATTGAATCCAAATGTTGCCAATCGATGTGTAAGTTTTTTAAACCAGAATTTCATATATGGTACTTGGCTTTTAATCTGTTAATATATGAAATAACTTTATCATCTGTTTTATCTTCCTCCTGACCTTAGGTTATTAACACACAGTACTTTAGAGCCATAAATTGGCCTTCAGAACAAAAACTTTCATTGGTAATTGATGATAATCAGAAGCAGTGGAAGTTTCAGATATATACCCAAGAACATGCTCTATCAGGTTTTGAAGGCCTTATGTGGGAAGAATTCCATGATTTTTATTTTAACCACTATGAATGTGTAAATGTTATATTGATCTACACTGGAAATCAATACTTTAGAGTCAGGGTATTTAACAAAGAAGGATACTGTATCAGCAATCATCAAAACACAGTCGGTTCAGACACATCTGAAGGTTTGTATAAGTTTATGTCAGCTGTTTACTACTGTGTATTTTATTATATATAAATTCATATATATTCCTATTTGTTTATATAAAATTCATAACAAGTGTAGTATTTCTTCACAGGTGAGGTTGACATAATTAACTACATAAGGTCCAACAGTGATCAGAATACTTTCAATGTGGTTATGACCAATGATGTAATTAACAAAGGCAGACTGGTAAAAATTTGTGCTCTGTTTTACTATTACATCTTACTTATAATATGTAACAAAAGTTTTTAAATTGAATTGTATTTTTCATCAAGTTTAAATGTACTAACTCAATTATTTGCCACAGGAGATACCATGGCACATTGTCAGAAGATTGGACATTCAAGACTATCGATTGTTGATCCTATACTACGATGGAGAACCTATAATGAGTATGGTTCGTGCCAGTTCTGGAGATTTTCCACATAGATTCATTGTTCAAGGAGACCTCCAATATATGATGACTTTGAAAAGGATCCCAACTGGTATAAAACTCGGATTTCGTATAAACGCGCAGAAGGCAGCCAACAAGGAGTCATTGATATTGGAAGTGCTGTAATCAAGTTTAAGTGTAGTTTTTTTTTTTCATTTTCGGAGAATAAGTTAATTTTTTTTAATAAATTTCAGTACAATGATTTTCAACCTTTAGTTTATTTTGTTTTTGGACATTTATTTGTTGATTACACATATATTCTTATGTCAACAGTGTCATCAATCTATTTCCTGCAATCTTTCATGTACATATTAATAATATATTTCACTTTACAATTTTATTCACATATATATGACTTAATAATCTTAGAATATGGGAAAATATTTTACTTTATTTAATATCATAAATTGTGTATTCCTGAAAGATATAATTACCATATTTAAAATATATTTTCAATTAAGCTTTTATTCATATACATAGTACATAATTATTTTATAGTTTGGAAATATATTCTTTTATTTAATACCATGGATTGTATAGTTCTGTAAATTTGTTAAGCACTATTATTAAAACTCCAGTCCTTTGTCAATTATTATTATAATATCCTGTATTAACTTCATTATAATTGATACTTATCAAAATGTTGTGATCTTTATCATTTACATATATAAGATAAGTTACTCAACCACTATCAATCATCAATATCAAACATATTATTCCTGATAGAACTTCAGTAAAATATTAGGGGGTGTTTTCATAGTTATTCACTGGAGATTCTATACTCCATTGGTTTTTTAAGAAGAAGGAAAAATTATATGAACGACAATGAAGATTTCTGATACAAAGGCTGCAAGGTTATTCAGAAAGCAAACATTAGACAAGAAAAGGAATAGAGTTCTTCGACCTATAAGATATGTTAAAAGTAAAGTTCCTATCAGATTACCACGCCCTGATCTATTGACTGCTAAGATCTCAAGGTATCAGAGGAAGAATATCTTATATCAGAGACGTTTCAGTTTAGTTATCAATAACCACTCTCCAGTCATCTCTAACAGGGAAAGACCATTTTCTGGAAAGGGTTCTCGATTGGAGAGGAAGAAACGTCTTGATAAAAAAAAGGGCAAAGTTATTCATGAAGAACAACCTGTTACCCTTGGTGGTATTGTTATAAGTCATTCCAACAATTTCACAGGAAATGTTTTCAAGAATACATTTTCATCAGAAATTAAGTCTACAGCAAGTGCTAATCAAGGTTGCAATTCCAATTCACAGTTACATAAAAATGTAACTAAAGTTAAAGGTACAGTTTATATTCCAAGTTTACCCTTTCTTTTCAAGTGTTTATTGTACTTAATGATTACAGATCGATTTGACATAAAATAATACATACATCTAAAAAGTACTGTGTTTTTATGTTTCTTCATATGAAATCACATTGTCAGAATTCGTCAGATGATTCAGCTGAGATTTTGTCTCCAGAATCATCTATAACCCATCGAAGCTCAGCCAGTCAAGTTAAACAGGGTTTGCAGCCTGGAAAGTATCAAATCAACCACATAAATTTCACTCACATAAATACAGGTAATTTTGAATCAAATCTAAATGCATATATTATTCACAGTAAGTATCACTTTTCTGACAATAACATGCCTCATTATTTGTGTTATGTAGAATATGATGATTTGGGAGATCCCACGTATGTATGTGGATATTGCGGATCGAATATGTGGTATGAAGAAAGAGTCAACGAGTACAGGAAACCTCAGCATCCTAAATTTTCTATATGTTGCAAACAAGGAAGAATACATCTTCCGTTGTTAACTGAACCACCTCCAAAGTTAAAAGCATTATTTATTTCTAAAACTGAGAAAAGTATTCAGTTCCTGGAAAATATCCGAGCATATAATAATATGTTTGCTTTTACTTCTATGGGTGGTAACATAGTCAGTTCAATTAATGATGGTCGTGGCCCTTATGTGTTCAAAATGCACGGACATAATAGCTATTTGATGGGTAGTTTACTTCCAGAAGACAATGAGAAGCCAAAATTTTCTCAATTATACATATACGACACCCAGAATGAAATTAGTAATAGAATTGCAGCTCTAAGGTACTTTCAATTTATTATATGCATAATCAACTTTATGCTGTAATTATGCCACTATCCTTAATTTTTCATCTAAATTGCATGATGATGATTATGCATTCTCATTTAATTGCAGTTCAGGGAAAAAACATACAAAAACAAAGGAACTTGACAGTCAGATTGTAGACGACATAAAGTCAACAATGGATGAATACAATGTATTGGTGAAGACATATAGGAAGGTGCGTGACACTGTTCAGACAGACGGTTCACATGAGATTAGACTTAAGCTAATTTCAACTAGAGAT